TGGAAACGATACCGCTCGGTTAGTAGGTCTAAGATCCTGAGTAATCGGGCATGTGTGTGGTAGATCATCGCAATACGTACATATGTTATTTGATATAATGAAGAGACATATTTCCGATGGCAGCTTTTGTTATTCACTGTTCTTTTTTTTTTTGCTGTTACACGACGAGTCTTGAAGCATTATAGGTGGAGCAAAGACAAGCCTAATCAAATCGAAAATGTCTGATTGCAGCAAGGACAATAACTGGTAATGATACATTGTGATTGCATGACCTCTAGCTGCAACGAGTTTTAAATCCTCTGTAGACCAAAAATATATCTGATAAAGTGATAACGTATTTGCTAATATTTAACTTAGAGATATTTGTTGAAGTGGGTTGTACTCGAAACCGAACGTAAACACATAGTCTATTTTGTGCTGAGGAAAGGATACCAGCTGTCTAAGACAATTTTGAATTAAGTCAGCAGCTTGAATTTCGAAAATATTCGACAAACTGAACGTAGAACAATCAAAACGATCTGCAATAACACAACTTACCATTAGAATTAAGCAGAAGTTCTTGGCATAGTGAATGACTTCTTTTTCATCTGACCATTATGTGGCTTGACTTGTTCATAAAAGCTGTGTTCACGCATTTATTAAGGTTCTTTCTTGGGGTATTTTTCAAGTTTTGAACATTTACGACTACCATCTGATAAATATGTGTTGAACACGTATATCTTGTAGGCCAGTGGGATCCCATCAGCACCATTTTAGTGGTAGTAGTGATCGTGTGCCAACTGGAGTACGCTTGTTTCTTCATCGAAACTCGGTGCTCGTGGCGTTAAGCGATTCTGTCATGATCAGCTTTGCTGGGTCGGCTTGGCTCCAGGTGGCCCACGGCAGTGTACGCGTGTTCGACGTTCGCCTTCGTCCATCCGATGGTCCTGTGCATGTGCAGTCAGTACCTGGAAGTTGCTTGCTGATAAAAAACGCGAACTCATATGGCAACAATAGCAGTAACAACATCAGGTAGTAACCCACTGCAGATCATTAGTGATATAGACTCGGATGCGTGTGAGAGGATCGTGAGGGTTTGCTGGATGCTTTCACCGTTGTCAGATTTTTGTGCAATTTCGTTCCTTTACGCCAGCTTCTAGAAAAAAAAATAGAGAATTGAGTTGGAATCTACTATATATGTATACAGATTCTTATTAACATTGTGAACATAACCTCAAGTATTTAATATTAAGTTCGCTTACATATTTGTTTATTACTATATTATTTATAGGATAACTATTTAACTTATTACTTCGAACCATTATTGAATCACAAAACACAGTCAATAGCTTAACTGTATCCGACTTTTGTGAAGTACTCCTATAAGCCACCCGATAGGGAAAAGTAAAATGTACGCGAAAGTATGTATGTACATACAATTTGCAAGATTTAATTATACCTTCTATAAGAAGTAACTGTGATTCGTGTATTGTACCCCGATATTTCCAACAATTTAGTTCATTAATGTAATGTTTAGATGATAGCTGTTTAGCTTTATTATTGCTAGTTATTTTTAAATCGCGTAGTGCAACGAATGTTTACTGTCGATCTAACCCATCGTTATCATGTTTGGTTTGTTATGTTTTTCGTCCTCTTATTTCGTACCAGTCTAGGCCTGTACGACCGAATGCAGCTGATGGGTGCGGGTCTAGCGTTTGATAAAGCCGGTGAATTAATTAAACGTTTCCCACGAAAAACAATCATCATCCTCCATGGACTTGGTACAGCGGATCGATACAGCAGCTTAAAGCCGAATTTCCACCTTGCCACTGACTCTACTCCGGAGAACATGTGGTCCGACTGCCGTTTCTACGTTACGCCAGTCGACGTCGGTTGGTTGCCGAACTATTCCAACAAACAATTGGACATCTTGGTGACAAACTTCATAAAGGCATCAACTCGGACCGTGATACGAGTCGCCATTGTTGGTTCTAGGAACTCAGGCAAATCATCGACGATGCGTGTCCTCTGCAACCGAATTCTACACTCATCGAGCGATGACCAGCCGCAGTCTCAAACCGATGGCGGCGGCGGGCCCCCTTCGCAGAAGACTGTACCGATTTTTGTCCTCGACTTGGATCCTGGTCAGACCGAGTTCACGCCTTCGACTTGTGTATCCCTCGTCGAAGTCAACTGTCTACTGATGGGTCCGCCTGGTGCTCATCAGATAAAGCCACGCAAATCTTTATTAGTTGGTGACAGCACCGCGGGTGCGCGACCTGAATCGTATGTAGCGGCAGTGAATAGTTTGATGTCGTACGTAAACAACGAGCTCACCTTTAATCATATTCTCATTGTAAATACCATGGGTTGGCTGAACGGAATCGGCGACCTTCTGCTTGGGACGGTACTCGATATCGTTAAACCTTGCAAAGTTCTTGCCACCTCAGAGGGGATTGAGCTGCCTACCATGGCCTGGCCGGCAAAGCATGTACAGATTGATGCTCCGATTGTGTATTTGAAAAAAATTGAGGGGTTGTTCATACAAGATTCGTACACAAAACCGGTGAAACCTGCGGAGCACCGAAAAGCGACTATTATCAACTACTTCGGTGGCCTCAGCTTGCTAAGCAAGAAAACAATCGCTTTGCCATGGAATTCCGTCGCGCTTCATGAAGTCTCAGGGCTCTGTCCACCTCAAGAGTTGCTTCGCCTTATAAACGCTAACGTGGTGGCACTCTGCAACGCTGCAGAAGATACAATTTGGAAAAGCAAGTCAGATCCAACAGTTCCGATGCTGCTACGAGAAACCTCCGGCACCCGGGACGAACCAATGGAATGTTTGGGTTTCGCATTTGTTCGAGCCGTCGATATGTTACGAAAGACAATCTACCTAATAACGCCGGAATCTGAGGAAACTGTTCGATCTGCCAACGCGCTGGTACATTGTACGGGGCTGAACGTGACAGATTATCTGGTGACAAACCAGAACAGGGGTAGTCGGCAAGGCCCGGCACCGTATTCTCTAAGTACTGACACACCTCGACCTATTTGGGAATTGTAAAGCAAACATTTGGTTCATACCTGATCATTGCATTAAACTATCCAGGGTAATTAATAATAGTAAAGATTAATATTATATGCTGCTGTACTATTGCAAGCGCAATTAGAAAAGGGGATGTCCGTTGCTGACAGTTACGTTGTATAAATCGGCCGGTAATCTGTTTAAAACAGTGATTACAGAGTTCATTACGAGTGAGTGCATAACAGCTGCTCGTGTTATTTTGCACTCATTTACCCGTGTTATGCAACTGGGAGTGTGATTATGCCATAGAGTGATGAGTATGGTAGTAATATGCCCAACGAAGTGATGTAATTTCTTGGCGCTCTACTTGTATCAACATTTGATATATTTTACGTGCGGTTTGCGATGATGCATCGTTAAGGTTCATTTCTAAACATCATCCGGTAATGATAAAAACCTGAATTCGTCTGTAAGTGGTGCATTTAGATTAATTTTGTGTAATTAGCGGCCAACTTTAATAGATTGAGAGTTCCAGTTGCCCAAGGTCAATCGAATACTTACTTATCTCCTACTTATTTTATAATAACTAGGAAATGGCATGACTTTGACTGTTTAATGGCAAAATTTACCTTGTCTACGGTCCCTTTTGACTTAAAGGTTACAGCTCGACGATGTGTGCTTGTTCTTGAGGATTTCATTGTGAGCTGCTTTGTCAAGACTTGCGTTTTACGACTGCAATGATAGTTTCGGCGGAAGTGGCGTGAAATTCTTCAGTCAGTATGTCTACAGTTACAAAGGTTGAAAATTCAATTTTATTTGTGCAGTTATCAAATAAGATAGTGGAAAACGTATACAATGGATTATTCGAAGTGTAAATTATTGGTAGTAAACTGGCTTTACGGATACGCCTGATTATCGGAAGGCGAAATAAATGTAAGCGTTACATCAAATAAAATAGTGAATATATGAATGTCAGAAGCTTCGTATTGCTACATATACAGTGCCGTCGGACACCCTATTACCTGTGATGTGCCAAACTCTAAAAGCCTTATGGGTCTTTTTGAAATATGCAGCGTTGATTTAAAAATCATGAACTTGTCTGGTTCTGGTACCCAAAAGTGCCATTCTCGTAAAATGTCTTAAAATACCATAGTGAAAAAATACATTTCCTGATAATAAAACGGTAAAGCTGGTAAATGTAGGTGAAGCGCTAGTACTGTGTGGCAAAATAATTAAAGTTAAACGTCCGTCAAAGACACCAAAAAACCTTAGAAAAAATCTGGGAAATATCAGCTTTAAAAATATGAAATCGTTTTTAACCTAATTATAAGGACCTTTGTCTATACTTATTGTCCTCTATTTCATTAGTTTATCCAAAGGGCCTGCAAAAAAATTCCCGGTTTTTCCTTCGTAGCAACGGATTTAGTCAGTAAATCTAAATCATAATAAAAAAACAAAGTCTTCTATTGCTTCAGCGACTATGTACTATCTATCAGGTAAGAATAATTAGGAACCATGATTTTTCTAAAAATAATTTAGTCAGTATTGTTTTTTAAGTCAATTTGAAATTTTTATTAGGTTTTTTTTCGCCTATTATACATTTTTACAATTCGCGTTGCAGTATCACGGGACCAGCCCGCTATATAAATTCTATTTAAGTATGTATAACTCTAATCGATGCGCACCGGCTGTAGTGAGCAACGATTTCTTGAACGGATTTTTTTGCTTTTTTTTTGTAACAATGTTTGCGACAACCGCCACAAAGCGTCGGGAAAAGTGTTTCCGGGGGTGAAGGTTTGCGCAATACTGAAAAGTTAGGCTAGGGTTTTCTCCAGCAAAAATGATTTCCCATTGGCCACTTAGTTCCCTGACTCTCTCTCCATCTCGCTTTCTCTCTCTCTCTTTCATATATATATATATATGTATATATATATATATACGCGTCTAACTTTGGCGTAACATGACGAAAAACAAGTTTGCCGAAAGACCGCAATTGGATATGCCTCATTAGAGCGGATAAAATGTGTGCTTAGAAACTGGCTCTCATTGAAGTTACCATTGGTAGAGCACCACACATTGTGCTGAGGGCCAGATGAGTCTCACTAAGTGGCACAATTTTAAAGATTAAACAGTCTCACACTCGAAGTCAAACTAGCAGAGTGGTAGAGTAAGTATATAGAAAAGGCAATAGAAAACCTAGAAATAAAAGCTGATGAAGTGAAAACATGAAGTATATGTTAAGATGATTATCAATCGAAAAAGTAAATAAGAGATTCATTCTTATAAAGCATAAAAAGAGAAGGTGAAAAGTTTCTTAGATAAAATAGAGGCAGAGATCGTATAGATCTAGTTACAGTAAGAATAGGCAAGTTGTAGAAAAGTCAGAGAACTCGTTTTCATATTGTAAATATAGAGGGACAGTTTCAACGAAGTAGACAGTAAAGTTGAATACGGGATTCCTAAGAATGAATTCAAGACAACCAAAAATGGTTCATAAGAAATAAAGGCCTAGATTAAGAAATGAAGTACGAAGAGAAATCGTTTATGGAGTGAAAACTAGAAGAAAACTAGATAACTCCATTATAAGAAATAAAGGCCTAGATTAAGAAATGAAGTACGAAGAGAAATCGTTTATGGAGTGAAAACTAGAAGAAAACTAAATAACTCCACTAAATAAGCGGCCGAAGCGCAGTTTGAGGCGATTGTGACTGAATCAAGACCAGAAAAGCAGATATTTTATGAAAGGTGAACACAAAGAGATTGATTGAACGATCAAAGGAAATAATAGGGTTCTAAGCAAGAAGGAGGTATGGTCAATGCTTTTACGAAAAGGGACAAAGTCTTATTCTTGAGGTACGACGAAATGGAAAACCAATCTTGGAAAGGGTTGGTAACCAGTGTGGTAGCAGAACTAAAAGGTGAGAGTAGTTATGAAAAAGTTGAAATGTAAATGAAATAAGACTATCAACTTGAAATAGGCTGAATCGGAAGTCGTTCAGACACATCATCAATTACACACAAAGAGTAAGCTATTTTAGTTCGACAGATCGATAGACTCCAATGATGGACAACAATATTTATGGAAGTGGCATATGGTAAGAAAGTTCGCTGAAACGAACAGGCCTAAGGTATCTAATGAAGTTACTAGAGGGGAATCACAGTCATTCGGTCAAAAGCAGAATTTCGTAAGAAGTGAGGTTTAGCGAAGTTTAAAACGAGGCGCCATGAATTAGACTAGAGCGCGTTGAACTGTTTCAATAATAGTAATAGTTTTCAAAAAGTAAAAGATTTTATCCTACACATCTATATATCAGTTTAGAGAAGAGGAAAAGAAACCTTGTAGGAGAAATCGGCGAACGTCGCCTACGAAGACCACGACGCCGGGCGGATGGCTCACGGACGCCAGCACCCGTCTAAGCCAACTGTCGTCTTAACGGTGGTATTGAATATTGTGAAGTTGTATAAACTTGAATAAATTACTTAATCTCATTATTATTATTAATAATAAGAACAATAAGATTATGATTGATGCCGTTGTAGGCTGTGATGGTGCTGAATGATGTCGTTCTCAATACATTCGGTCTTGTTGTTTTTCTCCCTGGTCCTATGCGCGCTAGGTATTTTAAGTATCTTCTAGCGTGTTTACGTGAATATACTTCTACGTCGAATATTCCTTTGTCGTCCTAATTGTCATTTACTTGTTTTATCTATTTATTGTTTTCGTACCTAGCTTACGTGGTTCCGTCATTGCTATTAATTTTTCAACAGCTCACAAATGAGGTATATCTATCGGTCGCCTACAATACAAATTCGATCGTCCTCGGCGTTTAAATATCTACTTGCAATGAGGATAAGTCATGTTGTGGGTAGAAGCGGGTTCCTTGTCATAAAGGTTGCTTAGCATTAGCCAGTATCATATTGCAGCAAAGTTTGAAAATCTACTTATTTACTGGAAGGAAGTTTAAAGAACCTTGCCATCTCTGACATCTGCTATAATTATAACATCAAGTGGTCGATAAGTAAATTATATGCTACTCATTATGTCAAGTGACTGCAAGCAAGTTTTCATACAGGAGAAAAATCGATGGGTCCCTACGCCTGAAAAACGAAAGAAAGTCGCCGCGTCTTTGGTCGGTCCAGAAAAGTCGAGATGTGGAAGTGTAAGATACAGAAGTAAAGCGCCTGAATTTAAGGCTAGACATCGAAAGTCTTGACACTCGACCTAAACCTCTAGTGGTCAGGTAGATTTTGACATTAGTGCTTTTCCATTTGAATGATGAGTATTACGAGTTGATGTTGGCCAAATGAAACTGGTCGTTTTGGTATGACTGATGATAAAGGGATATGACAGAGGTCGCAAAACCATAGTAAAGGCGAAGTCTGAAGTTCGTAAGAAGGTAAAGTCGGAGAATCCGATGCAACATTCATCGATGGGGGGTTTCCTTGTACAAGGAAATAGGTCATTAAGGTTCGCGAATCCGAAGTTAAGGTCGAACCCCACAAATCGAGTGATAGTGAAAAAATTAAAGATGATTGATAGTAGAAAGCAGAAGTCCTTGAAATATTTGCTAGAAGGGACAGACATTTCTTCAGCGCAAAAGCGGAGAAAACTGAAGCAGTAGTTGAAGAATACCTCGCCATCGTGGTGCCGGTCTTATCCGTTGCTGGCATCAGTCCTTCGGCCGCTTAATCGTACAGGGATATGATGCTGAGTTCGATCCGTGACACGTCTATACGGTCGCTCCAACTGACGATACTGTGCTAAACATGCGCCAGCCAGGAGGGCCAACACGGCGAGAGCATAGAGTAGCCGCATGCTCAAAGGAGAATTGTGAGCCCTGCGTACGGGTCACGTTGTTGAAGAGAGGTACCAAGATCATCAGGTTCGGTAGAATTACGGTGATGTTTACCATTCAGAGAATTACCCCGACGGGAGTGAAGGCAGACATAGGAGAATAATAAAATTGATGTTAGTTCTCGCTATGACAAAATGTTACGAGTTTGTGTTATGTAAACAAATAGAGTAGTTTGTTTTCAATGCTTGCTAAGTTCTAACGGGTTTTACGTTGCTTCTTTAACTTCGCTTTTGACTTTGATAGTTGATAGCTCCGCTTTAATTTATATAGTTGCTTCATATAGGTAAATGTAAAAAAACTATATAATAATAATTTTTTACCAAAAGTATCAACAAAATTAACTAAAATCGCTCAGACGTATGATATAGAATACTTCTTGACAATTCTGTTTAGTGAATAATAAACATTTCTGGGTTATGGTTTCACATTATTTCAATATGCACAAAAGTACTTTTGACATTTATAAGTATTAATTCGAGACGCTTCTGTATTAACTAAGATGCCGTTTAAATTGATAATTCTCAAAAATACGTCTATTTACCGGCGACCTGTTGATAAAAATTCTCTTAGTAATCATGTCCGTTGGTTGATCATCTTATTTGGTTTGTAGTTTAGGTACAGTTTCCCTTTAGAATTCAAGTCTACCAAAATAATATGATTGTTTTAAACTACAAGGGATCAACAGTAATTTGTAGTTAGAATCGAAATCCACACAAAAATAGTTAATGGTAAGAAATGAAACGTTCAAATAACCACATGAAGAATAGCTAATCCTTGTCACAGCGACTCTACCGTGAAAATCGGCTTAGTATATAACTGTTATCATTACAAACAGTAACGCAGTTCCGAGTTCTCATAAATATATATATATATATATATATATATATATATATATATATATACATTATATATATATATATTTATTTATCTAGATAACTCCATTATAAGAAATAAAGGCCTAGATTAAGAAATGAAGTACGAAGAGAAATCGTTTATGGAGTGAAAACTAGAAGAAAACTAAATAACTCCACTAAATAAGCGGCCGAAGCGCAGTTTGAGGCGATTGTGACTGAATCAAGACCAGAAAAGCAGATATTTTATGAAAGGTGAACACAAAGAGATTGATTGAACGATCAAAGGAAATAATAGGGTTCTAAGCAAGAAGGAGGTATGGTCAATGCCTTTACGAAAAGGGACAAAGTCTTATTCTTGAGGTACGACGAAATGGAAAACCAATCTTGGAAAGGGTTGGTAACCAGTGTGGTAGCAGAACTAAAAGGTGAGAGTAGTTATGAAAAAGTTGAAATGTAAATGAAATAAGACTATCAACTTGAAATAGGCTGAATCGGAAGTCGTTCAGACACATCATCAATTACACACAAAGAGTAAGCTATTTTAGTTCGACAGATCGATAGACTCCAATGATGGACAACAATATTTATGGAAGTGGCATATGGTAAGAAAGTTCGCTGAAACGAACAGGCCTAAGGTATCTAATGAAGTTACTAGAGGGGAATCACAGTCATTCGGTCAAAAGCAGAATTTCGTAAGAAGTGAGGTTTAGCGAAGTTTAAAACGAGGCGCCATGAATTAGACTAGAGCGCGTTGAACTGTTTCAATAATAGTAATAGTTTTCAAAAAGTAAAAGATTTTATCCTACACATCTATATATCAGTTTAGAGAAGAGGAAAAGAAACCTTGTAGGAGAAATCGGCGAACGTCGCCTACGAAGACCACGACGCCGGGCGGATGGCTCACGGACGCCAGCACCCGTCTAAGCCAACTGTCGTCTTAACGGTGGTATTGAATATTGTGAAGTTGTATAAACTTGAATAAATTACTTAATCTCATTATTATTATTAATAATAAGAACAATAAGATTATGATTGATGCCGTTGTAGGCTGTGATGGTGCTGAATGATGTCGTTCTCAATACATTCGGTCTTGTTGTTTTTCTCCCTGGTCCTATGCGCGCTAGGTATTTTAAGTATCTTCTAGCGTGTTTAGTGAATATACTTCTACGTCGAATATTCCTTTGTCGTCCTAATTGTCATTTACTTGTTTTATCTATTTATTGTTTTCGTACCTAGCTTACGTGGTTCCGTCATTGCTATTAATTTTTCAACAGCTCACAAATGAGGTATATCTATCGGTCGCCTACAATACAAATTCGATCGTCCTCGGCGTTTAAATATCTACTTGCAATGAGGATAAGTCATGTTGTGGGTAGAAGCGGGTTCCTTGTCATAAAGGTTGCTTAGCATTAGCCAGTATCATATTGCAGCAAAGTTTGAAAATCTACTTATTTACTGGAAGGAAGTTTAAAGAACCTTGCCATCTCTGACATCTGCTATAATTATAACATCAAGTGGTCGATAAGTAAATTATATGCTACTCATTATGTCAAGTGACTGCAAGCAAGTTTTCATACAGGAGAAAAATCGATGGGTCCCTACGCCTGAAAAACGAAAGAAAGTCGCCGCGTCTTTGGTCGGTCCAGAAAAGTCGAGATGTGGAAGTGTAAGATACAGAAGTAAAGCGCCTGAATTTAAGGCTAGACATCGAAAGTCTTGACACTCGACCTAAACCTCTAGTGGTCAGGTAGATTTTGACATTAGTGCTTTTCCATTTGAATGATGAGTATTACGAGTTGATGTTGGCCAAATGAAACTGGTCGTTTTGGTATGACTGATGATAAAGGGATATGACAGAGGTCGCAAAACCATAGTAAAGGCGAAGTCTGAAGTTCGTAAGAAGGTAAAGTCGGAGAATCCGATGCAACATTCATCGATGGGGGGTTTCCTTGTACAAGGAAATAGGTCATTAAGGTTCGCGAATCCGAAGTTAAGGTCGAACCCCACAAATCGAGTGATAGTGAAAAAATTAAAGATGATTGATAGTAGAAAGCAGAAGTCCTTGAAATATTTGCTAGAAGGGACAGACATTTCTTCAGCGCAAAAGCGGAGAAAACTGAAGCAGTAGTTGAAGAATACCTCGCCATCGTGGTGCCGGTCTTATCCGTTGCTGGCATCAGTCCTTCGGCCGCTTAATCGTACAGGGATATGATGCTGAGTTCGATCCGTGACACGTCTATACGGTCGCTCCAACTGACGATACTGTGCTAAACATGCGCCAGCCAGGAGGGCCAACACGGCGAGAGCATAGAGTAGCCGCATGCTCAAAGGAGAATTGTGAGCCCTGCGTACGGGTCACGTTGTTGAAGAGAGGTACCAAGATCATCAGGTTCGGTAGAATTACGGTGATGTTTACCATTCAGAGAATTACCCCGACGGGAGTGAAGGCAGACATAGGAGAATAATAAAATTGATGTTAGTTCTCGCTATGACAAAATGTTACGAGTTTGTGTTATGTAAACAAATAGAGTAGTTTGTTTTCAATGCTTGCTAAGTTCTAACGGGTTTTACGTTGCTTCTTTAACTTCGCTTTTGACTTTGATAGTTGATAGCTCCGCTTTAATTTATATAGTTGCTTCATATAGGTAAATGTAAAAAAACTATATAATAATAATTTTTTACCAAAAGTATCAACAAAATTAACTAAAATCGCTCAGACGTATGATATAGAATACTTCTTGACAATTCTGTTTAGTGAATAATAAACATTTCTGGGTTATGGTTTCACATTATTTCAATATGCACAAAAGTACTTTTGACATTTATAAGTATTAATTCGAGACGCTTCTGTATTAACTAAGATGCCGTTTAAATTGATAATTCTCAAAAATACGTCTATTTACCGGCGACCTGTTGATAAAAATTCTCTTAGTAATCATGTCCGTTGGTTGATCATCTTATTTGGTTTGTAGTTTAGGTACAGTTTCCCTTTAGAATTCAAGTCTACCAAAATAATATGATTGTTTTAAACTACAAGGGATCAACAGTAATTTGTAGTTAGAATCGAAATCCACACAAAAATAGTTAATGGTAAGAAATGAAACGTTCAAATAACCACATGAAGAATAGCTAATCCTTGTCACAGCGACTCTACCGTGAAAATCGGCTTAGTATATAACTGTTATCATTACAAACAGTAACGCAGTTCCG